TAACCACATTAGCCGTCTTTGTGTCGCGAACCACAACACATTTTGGTAATATGGACATTTATGGAAACCTCAATATCATTCTTGTCCAAGCTTCTTGGAACAAAAACAAACTTCTGAGCACATATGACCTCCACTGGTAAATGGGTTGTGAATGCCATTTCAAGCATAGGCAAGAAGGTAAAAGTCACTGTAGGAAAATAACATGAAGGAGCCCAACCAGAAGAGCCAGCTGGCATAGCAGCAGAGTCACAAGGACACTGCTAATGCTTGTAAGGAAGCATGCAAACAATCCTCGCAGCTGCCTCAGCAAAACTTCATTACAGTGAAGGCCAAGGCTGCTCAGGATGGTTGATTCCAAAAGTTGAAGCTCCACTGGTGAAAGACTCGTCTGGCTCCTATTGATCCATGGGATTTCACTGAGCCAATTATCCCTCATTACCCACAGCTCATCACATGCCACTAGTCTGAGAAGACCAATAAAACACTAAAGGCCCTCTCACACTTCCCTTTCCGTACCACTAGGCTGATGCAGGCCAATCGATTTCAAAATTATGTTATTTTCCATACAGGTTAGCAAACATTCGCATCCACTGAGTGCACTGTTTGCTGTGGTTCAGTTACTGGAAAGGAGGCATACTGAAATAAAAGTATTATTGTGTTAACAGATGCAATTAACAAACATAACTACTGCATTATCTCGCCTCTGTGTGCTTTCCATTTTAATATTTGGGTTTAATCAACATCAATAGCCTGTGGTCACTCCTCTGTGCACTTTAAACACATTCACACTGTTCTCTAAAGTACATAGATTTGGTAGATTTTAACCCAAATGCGGATTTGTGAAAAACAAATCACTGCCAACTGGGAACTCTTTGGAATTACACTATAACTGGAATTACTCTCTGGAATTACACTTTTAGCAGCAGCTCTGCTAAAACAATCATTATTCCATAATTTTTTCACCAACCAAATTGACTGAACTGAGTAGAAAAGCCCTAATACAGTGTAATCGGGGTCCAAAATGTTTTGTGATCTGATCAGTGAAATGCTTGCGACTTTACTGCATTTGTAGTGTAAACGTTAACGCATCACAGGCAACCTGAACAATGGCCTACTCACCTGTCAAACAATCATTGCAGTACAATAATGGTTTTAAACTTTGTCTAGGGCCTACTGATAAATGTGTCACTTTGGATATGTTGTCTGCCAAATCAGCAATTGTAATGTATGGCCAAAGATTTAATAATATGAAATATTAATGAGTCTTTTAGACTTTTATGTTACAGGACTTAACGCATTTTTGAACACACAAGGTCAACAATACTACCAAAAGGCTCCCTGAACCCCAGTCAAAACACTACTAATTACAGACTTCAATAGTCTTACATGAAAAGGTCTTATAATGCAAATGTTTTTTTTTCTTCTTAATTTTAGAAAACAACTTGTTACACATTTCCCCGACCAAACACATGAAATCTGAGAAAACGGGACTCCACACAGGAGGTAAACGAACCAGTCCTGAGCATGCCTGAGATTAATAGCAGATCAGACAAAGGGGACCACCAATGTCTGAAGCAGTAAATAACACTATGTCTCATCGTCATTTGTCATTAAGTCTTATTATTATCATCATGCAGTGCTAAAGAAAGAGGCATTGATAGCCTTGGACTTTTTTACAATAATAAGAGAAATTACATCTACACTGGCTCTCAATCAATATTCTTTACAGTACATTTAAATTGGTTGAAATAAGTGCAACAATTTGCTTTGACCAATATTTTAACAATATAATCTACTTGGTTATTGGTTCTTTATTACTGGGTTTAACAATAAAGAACACAATTTCTTCAAAGTCTAAAAAACTGAAAGAAAGAAAGAAAGTCCGAAACAAAGCAAAATTCAAAAATAGGAATTTGTGAGCATCAAGATCGACAAACGACTTTGCATTAATATTATTATTACAGACTGCAAATTATGCAAAATGCTAATTACATTTTTAAGGTAGTCTATATAAATATAGTCTATATTTAGTAGTCTACTAAATAGTTATTATTGTAGATATTGTTATTAGCAGAAATAAAATAATAAAAATAAAAAAATCACATCTGAATATTGGTTTTGGGACATTTACACAAAATGATCTGTATCGTTTGTGAAAACAGCTAGCCTGTATCAATCTTTAGTCACAATTTTAGACCAACTTTGATTTTACTTAGAAATGTAAAGCATCTGTTAAATAAATTTTTTTTTTTTAATTTTAGTGGTCTGATATTTTATTTTATTTATTTATTTACTCTCAGTGTACTTATGACAATCTTAAACCATAAAATGTAACTATTCATAAACTGTCAGCTGCCTAGTCAGTTTATTCGGGGAAAACGCCTTTTATCTATGCCAGTTATCAAAACAATATCGCAAACAGGCATCATGATTAGACTTGTGCGGGTATTCGGTAATGCGGTATATCACGGTAATGAATATGCACGATATTGTTATTGTGGGCACTTCTAAATACCGTGAATAATTATATATTATAAATTATTCAGAATTTTGAATGCATTTTAAGAATACTTTTCCCATCAACTGGTCAAAATGCACAACACTGCTGAGTGCGCACTCTGACTTAAAAAAGTGCAGACGAGAAGAACATGGCGGAACATGTGAGAGACGCCCTGGATGAAAGCGCACTTTCACTCTCTGACAGCAGATGGCGCTAAACTGCAGAAATAATAATAATAATAATAATTCATTTAAATGCAGCCGTTACCCCGGAAACCCTCTAAACAAAGCAGCTGCACTACTTTCTGTTTCTGAAAGGTGTTTAAATGATTTAAACAGCCATTCAGATTTGTGTATTTGATTGAAAGATCCAAAATCTCTGAATGCAATTTAGGCTCTTGCTGTTAGACTGATGTAAATGCAAAACCAGAACCCAAGGCAAACACCATCCTAAAAGACGTAAACTAGACTTGTGCCGGTATTCGGTAATGCGATATATCACGGTAATGAATATGCACGTTATTGTTATTGTGGGCACTTCTAAATACCGTGAATAATTATATATTATAAATTATTCAGAATTTTGAATGCATTTTAAGAATACTTTTCCCATCAACTGGTCAAAATGCACAACACTGCTGAGTGCGCACTCTGACTTAAAAAAGTGCAGACGAGAAGAACATGGCGGAACATGTGAGAGACGCCCTGGATGAAAGCGCACTTTCACTCTCTGACAGCAGATGGCGCTAAACTGCAGAAATAATAATAATAATAATAATTCATTTAAATGCAGCCGTTACCCCGGAAACCCTCTAAACAAAGCAGCTGCACTACTTTCTGTTTCTGAAAGGTGTTTAACATGCCCTAGATATTGTTTGAAAGTGTTTTGATTCTTTATTGTTCGGTCACACTTTACATTAGGGCTTCATTAGTTAACATTAGTTAATTCATTAGTTAACATAAACTGCCAATGAACATTTTTTCTGAACATTCATGAGTATATATTAATATATCATCAATAAAGAAAGTTGCAACTGTGTTATTTAATGAGCTAACATGAAACTAAGACTTGCATATTTTAAACAAAGATTAATAACTTCTGTAGCAAATGTAGCTATTGCTGAATGTTAATGCATTAACTAAGGTTAACTAATGAGGTCTTATTGTAAAGTGATACCTATTGGTCTTTATAGTTCTTTTGCACTTTAATCTGTGTAAAACTTTTAACTTTATACGTTTTTCTGTATTGCTTTATTGCATTTAAATGTTCAGTTATTTTTGTTACAAGAAATAAGTTATTAAACCTTTTATACTGTATTATGACAGCACTTTTTTAAAATTTCAATATCGTGATAATACCGTATACCGTGATAAAAGCATTAGCAATTAATCGCAACATGAAAATTTGATACCGGCATATCCCTAATCATGATTAAAACGGATTGGATGCCAAAAGTGTTGTTAAACTGATTCAACTACTTTTAACGGTCCACACAATCTGGAATCATCCAGACAAGAAAAGGGCCATGTTTACGCAGGCAGCTACAAACGCTTTAACTAAGGTTAACTAATGAGGTCTTATTGTAAAGTGATACCTATTGGTCTTTATAGTTCTTTTGCACTTTAATCTGTGTAAAACTTTTAACTTTATACGTTTTTCTGTATTGCTTTATTGCATTTAAATGTTCAGTTATTTTTGTTACAAGAAAACAGCTATTAAACCTTTTATACTGTATTATGACAGCACTTTTTTTTAAAATGTCAATATCGTGATAATACCGTATACCGTGATAAAAGCATTAGCAATTAATCGCAACATGAACATTTGATACCGGCATATCCCTAATCATGATTAAAACGGATTGGATGCCAAAAGTGTTGTTAAACTGATTCAACTACTTTTAACGGTCCACACAATCTGGAATCATCCAGACAAGAAAAGGGCCATGTTTACGCAGGCAGCTACAAACGCTTTCTAGGCAGCTCACTAGGTTTTGAGACACAACCTATCATTTCAGATGGGATCTCTCCCTAAATAATCAGCATTGCGCTCCATGTCACTGACAGCTGATGCGGTCGTGGGCAAACATGTCATGTAAGGGTGGAGGCACTAAATAATCAGAAATGGAGCTCATGCTCTCACTCAATCTCGTGGGTCAGTGGATGTGAGAAATGACCGCTTTTCATACTAACCATGGAGATGCCACATTTTATGACAATTAATAATAATGCCAAACGCAATTTAAGCATATCGGTCATGGGTATATATTTGGAGGTATGTTACCTCGCTGCAAAATCGTGCCCGACGGCGCAACCACGGTTCAACAGATTTTCACCATTTTTCTCCAATATCGTAGGCGAGTCGCGGTACAAATCCGTCTCCCCGAGCCCCTTACATGACCGCCGCTTGCTAATACCAGCATATCCGATGACTAGAAACACGCAGTTTCCATTGTCACCGTCCAAACCATGTTACATGTGTCAGAAAGTGTGCCTCTCACCTCGCAGATCTGTGCCCATCTTCCGCCCGTGCCCAGCAGCCGCTCCAGCAGGATGACGTCACGAGCGCCACTCTGCAGCAGAAGACGAGCGCGAACCAAGTCGCGTCGCGTCGCGTCGCGTCGCGCAGGGCAATAAAAAAAAGGGGGCGTGTGTGACGCTCACCGCAACGAGCAGAACACAAGCCCTACTTGTCCTGCTTGGAGTCGGGGTTTTAAGAAAGGTGGCTGCGAATCAGTTTTTTAGCAGTGTATATTGATGATAAAAAGCATTTATTGTGGATCGGTTTGATGATGAAGGTACGCCACACAGTGTAGGCTACATTTTGTTTTCTTCGTATAGCCTATAGCTCAGAGGATTCAAACTTTTTGATGCCAAGGAATTACTCAAATATAAAACCAGATGTAGTTTTTTTGTACAATGACCTATTTTGTGTGAAGAAAGTATTAAATGTGATATTATAAAGACAAATGTAAATAGTGTCGTTGTACTAAAGCCAAAGCAATTTCTTAAAATTGTATCTGTAAAATATGACCTTATTTAAATATGATCTTATATCATTTGTATTAAGTTGATCGCGCAACTTTCTCTTTTTCTTTTCTTTCTTTCGCTCTGGACAATCCATTTGCTAAATTATAGGCTAATCTAATATGTAGACAAGAAGACAATGGATTTCTAGCTTTCTTTCTAAACCTGGTCGGACATATTAAAGGAAAAATTCTTCTAAACTGGACAGAGACATTTCTATCTGAGTAAGTCTAAAGGAAAAACGAGCTCTAATGTGAAGCAAGTAGGCTACTCATTGATCAGATCTTGTAGGCTTAATAATTGTGTTATGATCAAAAACCTGGCTAATTTGTGGTGGAAATAAATAATGATTTTAGCATCGGTCTGTTGTCCAGATGTTTTGTTGTTTGGCGGTGTTAAACAGCTGATCGAATGTGCAACAAGCGCAGTGCCGAGATTGAGAAGCAACCTTTCAGTCTAAACCCTGAAACAAGTGCAGAGACTCGGAGGACATCATTGCAGTAAGACATTAGCGCTATCTTGTGGTTGTATTGTAAATATGCACGAGGTACCGCAATGAAAATCTATCTACAGCGACTGGGCAAAATAATGTGAACATTATAATAGGGGTTAATATCATTTGTGTAAGCTGCAGTGAAATTTATATTTGGAGGTATGTTACCTCGCTGCAAAATCGTGCCCGACGGCGCAACCACGGTTCAACAGATTTTCACCATTTTTCTCCAATATCGTAGGCGAGTCGCGGTACAAATCCGTCTCCCCGAGCCCCTTACATGACCGCCGCTTGCTAATACCAGCATATCCGATGACTAGAAACACGCAGTTTCCATTGTCACCGTCCAAACCATGTTACATGTGTCAGAAAGTGTGCCTCTCACCTCGCAGATCTGTGCCCATCTTCCGCCCGTGCCCAGCAGCCGCTCCAGCAGGATGACGTCACGAGCGCCACTCTGCAGCAGAAGACGAGCGCGAACCAAGTCGCGTCGCGTCGCGTCGCGTCGCGCAGGGCAATAAAAAAAAGGGGGCGTGTGTGACGCTCACCGCAACGAGCAGAACACAAGCCCTACTTGTCCTGCTTGGAGTCGGGGTTTTAAGAAAGGTGGCTGCGAATCAGTTTTTTAGCAGTGTATATTGATGATAAAAAGCATTTATTGTGGATCGGTTTGATGATGAAGGTACGCCACACAGTGTAGGCTACATTTTGTTTTCTTCGTATAGCCTATAGCTCAGAGGATTCAAACTTTTTGATGCCAAGGAATTACTCAAATATAAAACCAGATGTAGTTTTTTGTACAATGACCTATTTTGTGTGAAGAAAGTATTAAATGGGATATTATAAAGACAAATGTAAATAGTGTCGTTGTACTAAAGCCAAAGCAATTTCTTAAAATTGTATCTGTAAAATATGACCTTATTTAAATATGATCTTATATCATTTGTATTAAGTTGATCGCGCAACTTTCTCTTTTTCTTTTCTTTCTTTCGCTCTGGACAATCCATTTGCTAAATTATAGGCTAATCTAAGATGTAGACAAGAAGACAATGGATTTCTAGCTTTCTTTCTAAACCTGGTCGGACATATTTAAGGAAAAATTCTTCTAAACTGGACAGAGACATTTCTATCTGAGTAAGTCTAAAGGAAAAACGAGCTCTAATGTGAAGCAAGTAGGCTACTCATTGATCAGATCTTGTAGGCTTAATAATTGTGTTATGATCAAAAAAAATCATGCGTCAAACCTGGCTAATTTGTGGTGGAAATAAATAATGATTTTAGCATCGGTCTGTTGTCCAGATGTTTTGTTGTTTGGCGGTGTTAAACAGCTGATCGAATGTGCAACAAGCGCAGTGCAGAGATTGAGAAGCAACCTTTCTGTCTAAACCCTGAAACAAGTGCAGAGACTCGGAGGACATCATTGCAGTAAGACATTAGCGCTATCTTGTGGTTGTATTGTAAATATGCACGAGGTACCGCAATGAAAATCTATCTACAGGGACTGGGCAAAATAATGTGAACATTATAATAGGGGTTAATATCATTTGTGTAAGCTGCAGTGAAATTTTATCTTTTTCTATATCCTCTAGGTTGTATATCAGTGTGGTATAAGTTCAGCAGTGTTTAGTACAAGTCGTGGTTGAAATGAGTGACTTACAGGTGCATCTCAATAAATTAGAATGTCTTGGAAAAGTTAATTTATTTCAGTAATTCAACTCAAACTGTGAAACTCGTGTATTAAATCAATTCAATGCACACAGACTGAAGTAGTTTAAGTCTTTGGCTCTTTTAATTGTGATGATTTTGGCTCGCATTTAACAAAAACCCACCAGTTCACTATCTCAACAAATTAGAATATGGTGACATGCCAATCAGCTAATCAACTCAAAACACCTGCAAAGGTTTCCTGAGCCTTCAAAATGGTCTCTCAGTTTGGTTCACTAGGCTACACAATCATGGGGAAGACTGCTGATCTGACAGTTGCCCAGAAGACAATCATTGACACCCTTCACAAGGAGGGTAAACCCCAAACATTCATTGCCAAAGAAGCTGGCTGTTCACAGAGTGCTGTATCCAAGCATGTTAACAGAAAGTTGAGTGGAAGGAAAAAGTGTGGAAGAAAAAGATGCACAACCAACCGAGAGAACCGCAGCCTTATGAGGATTGTCAAGCAAAATCGATCAAAGAATTTGAGAGAACTTCACAAGGAATGGACTGAGGCTGGAGTCAAGGCATCAAGAGCCACTATCTATCTATCTATCTATGTTCTATCTATCAGCACTACAAATACTACTTCAACCAAAGCCACTACAGTTTGGTCCCACTATGAATACTGCATGTCGTAGCAGACATGACTTACAGCACCAGGAGTTTCATCAGCCCTTCATCTGCTCCCATACAGATAACAATGTTCTATCTTGTTATCTGCAGGGGAATATTACAGAGCCGTGTGCATTCCGGTGTCCTTGAATAGCCTTTAATGAGACCAGTAATTCCTAAACACCTGCTGCAGATAAAACACTGTCATCCTCAGCACAGCTCAATTAAAGGAAGTGTTTTCCCCCTAACCCTTCCATACACACACACAACACTTGCACACACACATGCACATGCACACACACATTCTCTCTACAGTCTTTTTAATTCAGCCATTTCAAAAAGTGACAACCACACTATGGGCTAACTACTAGCCTGTCATCTACTTTTGTATTTTGATGGATTCCATTCATGATGTGCTGTGCTTTTCCATAGCTTTTTAGCAGTAAATGCTTACTGAGGATATTATTAGCTTCTGTTTGCTTAGCAACGTTAGCATGTGCCTGAAATGTGTCGTTTTTTCACTGTAATTTAAACACTGAGACATTGGAGACGTGCAGTATTGAAGCAAAGCAAGAAATTATAATGAAATCTCTTAGCTACACTGAACTTGATTGTGTATTTGTGCAATGGTATGGTCCGCATAATAATAATAATAATAATAATAAGTGCAATTCTATTAAAGTCAAATGGAAATCAATACACCTGCAAACAATACGCATTACTCACATCCTGTATTACAAGAGTATTATCAACAGGGGACAGCAACAGATAGAGCTTCTCAAAGGGGGCAAACAACTGAATGTACCACAACCACAGAAGTGCTGTTGCATATCAAATCAATTAACTACTTATTGTGTGCTAATTTATATAATCAACATAACTGTATTATTCATTGTCATAATTACATTTATTGCAGGAGGACAATTCCTTATACTTAATAAATCAAATTAAATATAAATGCAAAGTATAAATATATTGTTAAAATATTACTAAAAAAAAAAAGTTTAGTATGGTGATAACTGCAATATTCACATCAATATTTGTCATAGGCCAACCAAAAGATATACTGAGACTGAGACACCTATAAGCCATTAAAAATCTGAATATAAGTCAAAGAAATATAAAAATATATATATTTGAAATCAACCAGAATTCTGTTCAGATTTTGAATTAACTGCAAACACTTAAAGGTTGTTTTTCCCTCTGTGAAATTGTGTGAACAAACAATGAAAAAGCAAGTATGTGCTAATAATACGACTCAAGTGGCCATTAAACGTACTGAGAGGATAAAATGAACAAACAAGACCTAAGTGAAGGGCACGATTATAACCGGCACACAATATGCATATCATCCTAGATTAGGCACTAAATGCCACAAAAAGGATTGTTGTCTTACTAAAGACTTTGTAATTGCACAGGGAGGGGATTTTGAAAACTAACACGTCAAGTGAAACTTGTGCACAAAAAAATCGAGCAATCTTTATCTGTTAATGACACTGTGCAGATAAATGTGTGAAAATCACGTTCAGCAATGACAATAGTACAGACCTCTGCATTCTTAGCTTGAGCCACAGATGTTGCCATAGTAACAGAGTATATCTTATCAAGTATGGCTCTTGTGTGTGTGTGTGTGTGTGTGTGTGTGTGTGTGTGTGTGTGTTTCTGGAACTTATTTGGGCTTTCAGTGTAGGTATGACAACAGGCTGTTGAGTTGTTACACTGATTTGCATGTTAATAGATTTAACAG